GGGTGGTGGGAGATAGCACAGTGTTAGTGATGCCGATGATCACAAGCCGTGTGTTGGCTTGATCCCATTCCGAGCTCACAAAGCCTGTCATACTTCTGGGGTCGGGAAATTGGTACCAAACTTGTCAGGAAAAGGAGCACTCTCTGCAAACCAAATGGGAACGCTCTAGTACGGCTATTCCAGGACTCTAATGAGGATCGACTCGACCGGCATTCAACGAGACCCACGATGGAGGGAAAATCCTCAAGCAGCAGCCAAATGTACACGGAAAAAGTTGGAAAACCCTAGAGGACGATGGATGCGAGGATACTAAGCAAATGTTGCTGGGATCCGCGAAGTAGATGTGAAGGACCAGTGGTTCAAAACAAGAAGGAAATAAAAATAAAAGAGAATTTCTAATTTCTAATTTTTCTAATTTCGTCTTCTATCGTTTAAAAGAATGCTGAATAAAGAGATCTCCTACATATACTGAATAGAACCACCTACTTGTAACAGTGCATCAGCATCATCCTGAGCATAATGAGCTTCATACTCTGCCTTCAGCACCTGGAACAATACTCAAAAAGAAATTAACGTAGAACAATTTAAGAAAAAAGAACCTAGACACAACGATGCAGAGGTATTTGGTAAACGTCGATCCCGGGTCGGATAGAACCACGATTCCCCTTTCCGAGGGCTGACACTTTACACGCTGCGCCACGGAGGCCCTTGCCTTGCGTTCCTCTAAGCTAGTTTTCTACCTAACACTGGCATCAGCAATCACCCGTCGGCGGAATTGATCTGGGAAGGCGAAGTCGGCACTGAACGCATTAAAAGTGACTGAGAAAAACGTAAAGCAAGAGACCCTAATGTACAGTTTGTAATACGCGATTCCCTCGAAAGGGTAATCGTGGTTCGATGTGGCCCCAGGTCCAAGAGTTCTGCGAATATCTCAGTATCGTTATGGTTGGATTTCGCATCACAACATACCGTGGAAAATTATAGTAAGCAGAAAATGAAGGGTTAGCACTAAGATTTTAGACAGTTCTGATTTCTTAACCTACCTTACTTAACACATTGGGCAACGCCAGTTATCCAACAACAGAAGAACATTCCTCGATGAGGAGTTGAAGGATCTGATTTTGAATAATATATAAAATAAGCTTACCCTAGGTTTTCTTCGCTCTCCCGGAGACGTTATTTTGATCTTGATTTGTTGAAAAATAGGGTCTTTAGAAAGATGAAGGCGAAATTTAGGCACTCAAAATTTCTAACGCATTCGCGGCAGCCCCGAACATTAATGATATATGCGGAAACAAAACCGCTTTCTTATAAACAAAATCACGCTTTCTCAATTGCTTCATTGTTTAAGATGTTCTTGTCGACGGAGAAAAAGAAAAAGGTTAACTCTCCTAAGTTTTACAGGATGAGAGCTCCACCATATTAAATAAGAAAACTTATATCTTACTACCAGACATCTGTAGCATACACTGTTCTTTACTCCAATTAGCAAAGCTGAAAGACAGGCGAAACGAAGGACCCTTATGGTGTGGTGGTGAACGCGTTACTCCCCAGAAAAGACAATAGCGCGTTCGTTCCCCACCGCAGACACCTGCAGTCCGGAGTTTTGCAAATATCTCAGTAATCTTGTGTTTGTATATCGTTTAATACCCTGCCATAAAAATAACAGAAGGCAGAAAATAAAAAGTAAACATTGTGAATCCAATTTGTAAAGTTCACTACAAGCTTAGATTTGTCAGGTTATGGTTGAAAGACGCAGTTATTTCCAACCTTGTATGAGCTTCAGGCAATTCGAAAATCCCGTTAGGTATTCGAAGCGGCCGTTCACGATATAGAAGTGAAAATAATGTGTGGAATAAAAAATCTATCGCAGCTACTAAGTAAAACTTACTGTCTCGTATATAGTTGTTAATTTATTCTTGGTACTCATTTGCGCAATACTGCGATTGAAGTCCCAACGTCCCCCACTTATGCGCCTAAAAGAACACTATCAGTAAGTAAACTAGCCATCAGAAAAAGTTGGCAGAGGTAATGAGTGCTAAGAAGAGAAGTTTTTAAACATTCTCTGTGTCAAGAACAGTACGCAACTCAGTACATAGTTAACCATTAGATTCCTAATAAAAGAGAAACACACCTACTTGAAGAACTCAGGACGTACGCGCCTTCTTTTTGCTGGAGACCACTCTTCGGCATTCAAAAATAGAAGTGGATGATCACTAACGGGAAGTGCAGCATCAAAAAGTCGACGGCGAGAAGAACTAAATGGTAAAATCTCACTTTTCAGTAATTGCTGCCTTTATATTGCTATCATTATTCGTCTACACAAACAACTTACAGCTTTGCAGATTCACTATGACTACCCCGAGCAGGAAGGCGGACAGGTGAACGCGGTTCTTCATGACGTTGTGGAGGCAAATGAATTGGAAAATTCATCTCTTCGAACTCTTAAAATATAATTCGTTGAAATAATGCTTGAAAAACGCTATTCATTCTGCTGGTCATTTATTTGCATGCAAATATTAGTATTTTTTTAATACTAAGAAAATGCTCGATTTCTCACTAAACAAGAAACTAAGTGTGAAGCAATTCGTGAATAGAAGGTTTCCTTTTCTCAGTCCCTATTTCTGCTGTTTGCCGCGGACCTCTCAACGGTTTACCGCCACATCGTAGCTAGGTGTTCCTGGGTGTTAGGCTACGATGTACAGCGGGGATTCATGAACGCGGCAGGGCCTCGCAAGCTGAGGAGTCCCACGTTTCCATCAGGAAGCCCAGCTAAGATTAAACTAATACCAGGATCCATCACCGTCCTGGTATCAAACTAGTCGCATGATGGTAAATCTCCCTGTGATCCATAAGGAAGGCAACTGGCTGTGGTGGTGACGACCTGGGGTGGACTTTGGCTAGAACTGATCTCGGAACCGCATTGAACCACAACGGCAAAACCAGCAAAACTCCCAAAAAGTGAGAATTTTTCTGGGACTCGCACAACCGGCAAAGATGGGCAATCTACGTATCCAAGTAAGTGAGTAATTCTGCTGGTTAATAACCAGGTTTTTCCAAAGTTCTTTCTACTGGACTAATGCAGAACATATGTGAAGGAACAAAAAACAACTTCAAGGAATACGCAGTGAATAGTTGCCACGACTACACAAAGTATACCTTCTTGAACGATGGAAATGGGACGGTCTTCCACTTCTTGAACAGCTGCTGTACCATCTCCAAATGCTGGCACATGGTTTGGGCAGATTTTCTCGGAAACTGAACTAACGCAGACTACAAGAAAACACTGAGCTGAAATCTCCACACAAAAGCTAGTAGTTGAAGGTGCACCCACGTAATTTCCAATCAACTAATTTTGTGGCATGATGGAGTTCGTTGCGATGAATGTCTTCTAATTCTCGAATGGTCAAATACGAATCGATAAATACGACCTTAAAATACTTATTGCTTTAACATTTGCGATTGTTCATTAAAAAATTACCCCTTCTGGAATTCCCATGTCCTTCTCGATGAATCCGCACCTTGAAAGTTCACCGTATAACACGCGATAGTCAAAGAACAAGCCATTGTGAGCAACTAATAAAGAATTAAGAATAGTTGTAAGAAAACTGCTTAGATATGTTAGATTTATCAATAACTGCCTCTACAGGTAAGGTTTGATTTTGCGTAGAAACGGTAGTTTTTTTTTAATAAAGAACTTAACATAAGTGCTTATAAAAAAGTCCCTAAAAGCAGACACCTCCACCAAATAAAATTCACCTTCGTTGTTAACATATCATAAATCTACTGAAATATCGAACTCTTCATTAGAAAAAAAAAAACAAAAAAAAACATTAGACACTAAAACATTAGCGAAGACGTCGTTTGGTATCGATTTACAAGAGGGACATTGTGGCCGGCATGACTCTATTTCGTGTCATCTTTTTCCTGTGGTTTCTTTTCACGTTCAGGGATTTTTTCGCTATATTTTTTAAAATTAATCAAAAATTTGCTCAGTGCAAATGCTGGAACAGCGGCTTCCAGAGGAAATTTACATTCCACACTAAATAATCTAGAAAAAACCTTTAGCGAGACACTGCGGCCGGCATGACTCGATTTCGGGTCGTCTTTTTTCCAGTAGCTTCTTTTCGCACGCATGGCTTTTGCTATATTTTTCAAATTGATCGACAATTTGCTTAATGGAAATGATGAATCAGCTGTCTCCTGGGTGAATTTATATCCCGCATTTAATAATGTAGGAAAAAAAATCGTTGGCGAGAGAGTGGCGGGCATTAATTGCGTTAAAATCACAACGCATGCAATGACAAATTAGGCGTCGCCGCGAACATATTGAAATACTAATATACCGAATTTTATAAAGTAAACAACACCAATGCAAGCAGGCTTGGGACATGAATCAAGGAAGTTCCTCACAGCAGGCCATTCTTGTGCAAACGTCTGCTTCAAAACAAGATCCTCACGAGTTAAACTGATACCTACAACGAAATTATGATTAATCACACGTACCAGCATTTTAAAATAGCAGAGAGCTCATCAGAAGGAAAAAAAAATAGGCGATTCATCGATTAAGATAGTAATTCAGAGTTAATAAGATTACTTTGTTAAACAAGTACATTGAAAAAATTATAAAGTGATGAAAATCTCACAGCTTTTCCCCGCAATTCTTGAACTTTCATAACTATGCCATCGTTTGTCATCCAACTCAGGGTTCAATTGACGAGTGTGAACATTTGTTGCCAGTCGCACACGAATACACTGGTTCTCCATCTCAAACGGAACAATTTTGCCTCAATAATACTGAATAGATTAGTAGAACTGAAAAAGATGTAATTCCCGAAACTGACTATCCGAGACCGAATAACCGGGACCTTGACCAATAATTCATTGTTTTCTGCTTATCAAGAAAACAGTGAATTAAGTGAAAATGTGTCGAACATTTAAGCGTAACTGAATCAAAAACACAATGGCAATGTTTAATGAATACTGAACTCTGGAACCAACCTCGTCACACAACCCCTGCATTTTCGTTTGCGCTCTGGCGAAAGTTTCGCGAGGAACACTCATGAATGACATTTCAGTGATTCTTGGATACTCGGAACGTTGAGCTGTATAAGATAACAATCAACACTTAGAATGTAGCAAAACCAAACAACTTATTAAATTGTCTCTAGTTAAGACAATAATCCAAATAATATGCTACTACGACATACACTTTAGATTGAAATACGTGGAATTGATACAAATCAAACAACGTCCTCATTTAGGTTGACTTTTCTTGCATTACTAAGACATGATACGATTTCATACGCATGACACTATGCTGATCCCAGCGTTTCTTGTATTCGATTCCTTTCCTCGCATTCATCGCCCACGAAAATCCTCGAACTTGTTGCATGTGGGTTCGGCGGTTGCCTGGGAATTGTTATTTTTTTTTCGAATACCACTGAATGTTGGTCAAGTCGATTTTTCCTGAAGCCGTAGGATAGCCAGGTTAGGGCGTTTCCACTTGGACTGCAAAGAGTGAGCTTTCACCATACAAGTCCAGTACTCATTTTCCAACCTCGAATTTCCCAAAAAATGAGAGGCTTGATGAGGGCGGTACGGGGTCGAATCAACACCGTGTTCGTGATAACCGGCTTCACTAGCATTGATCTACCTGTCCGCTTTAGATTGTAAATAAACTCTCCTAGTTTGTAAATATAAATGGGACTACTACCAACATATAAACATAAATGCCAAAGATAAAACATAAATCGATAAAGCAAAGATTAATTAAGTAACACTATATACAGAAGTATAAGGACTAGAATACAAGAAAAAATCAAGAAATACATGAGGTCCGAGGACCGATTTCATTGAGCGCACCCAAAATTTTGTTCTTAACACAAGGACATGTGAAGTCACTGATTCACAATAAGTCAGCTTAGAGTTGCTCTATCAGCATTAACATCCCACTTTCACGCTGTTTTTTCTCCTGATTCAAATAAAAAAAACAGTAGGTGTTAGTCATCTGGAATAAATAACGCAATTGTATGACATCATGATTGAAAATGACACTTTAAAAAAGATTGGAATCACATCTACACGTTTTAAACCAACGATGATAGTCCTTCTACAGCTTTTTAAAACACAGAGCATCCTCATGGTTAGAAATTACAGTTCCACAATTTAAGACTTTTTTTTTACAACAGATTATAATTTCCTCATCAACCAAGGCACGTGTAGCACAGTAGTCGAACGCGCCCTACAGTACACATAGGATCGATCCCTGCGCAGTGGGTTCCCCAAGCCTTTCATCCTCCTAGGTCGGTAAATTGGTACCAGACTTCTCTGGCAGAATAGCAGCACTGGCTCGATACATCGGTATGCCATTGGGAGTTATCAAAAAGACCAGATATGCACTCAATAAATGATGCTTAGTGAAGTCGAATGCATGGCACCTTCGTCAGGAACTGACCAACGCTGAGAGCTTGTCCTTTTTATCCATCAACAAGCTAGTGAATGACTTGAGAACTTCACAGATTTGGAGAGAATACTCGCTCGGTTGGCACAAGTGAATATTTTTTATAAAACTCTGTTCACTTTTTATTTGCTGCCTATTACAAGTTTTCTCGCCACGGCATTATGCAAAATGCAGACATAATGGTGCTGAGTTATTTGCAAAACTACGGAGCGCAGGTGTCTGCTGTGGGAAACGAACGCGCTATTGTCCTTTCCGGGGAATAACGCGTTCAACACCACACCATGTGGGTTCTTCAGTCAGGAGTTTTGCAAATATCTCAGCATCATAGTAGTTATATTTCGCAAAGTACTCTGCGGTTAAAAAGAATATGCAGTAAGTAAAAAGGTTAAAATTGTGATCATAATTATAGCCTCAACTTAACTGGGTTCAATGCCGATTTGGGCCCCCAGATCAATCCCGTTGACGGGTGACTGCTGATGGCAAAAGATCGATAGAACTAGCTGACAGACAGGCGAAACGAAGGACCCACATGGTGTGCTGTGAACGCGTTACTCCCCAGAAAGGACAATGGCGCGTTCGTTCTCCACCGCAGACACCTACGGCCCGGAGTTTTGCAAATATCTCAGCATTATACTATTATGAATATTCATATGCACTAACAGAACAATAGAATGGACTCCATGAAGATGCAGGCATCTCCTAGGACAATCAGCGGACGTGCTCGTAACGAAAGCCAAACAGCCGTACTCGCAGCTGAAGCGGTTTTACAGATCACAGTATGAGACTCGCACTGGCCACAATGCTCGAATCAAAACATAGCTATGGATGACGATTGCGATGCAAAGAAACGAATGGAATATGTGCTGTTCTTCGCACATCTCGTGAAGATGGGTCGTTCAAGTGTCCACATCTGTAATGAGTATTCTATTACAGTGAGTGGCAGGCATTTCCAATGGCTTATAGTCAAACTTTGATGCACTAAAAATCGTTAATGTGGGCTCGGAAAGTGCAGCGATGATAGCCTTGGTGTTAAACACACACAGTCTTTAGTTCAAACCCGGTCCACGCCAGCTCTGATCTTTCGAAGCCGACAAATTGCTAAGAGATTTGTCGGTAAAAAGTTTCCTAGGATGCTCAATGTCCAGCGACTACCTCTGCGATAATGAACTAGGAACTTTGTGGTAGATCCATCTTAGAGTTCCAGTGAATCAACTCGAACGGTATTCAATGATATTAATGAAAAAGAGAAAGACCTCAAGTTGTAGAGACTTGCACACAGTTCTGAAGACCTTTGTGAATGATGAACTTGGGGAAAAGGGTCGAGTGATAGAATTGCTACTATCCGTGGAATATATGGAGCGTCACACAAACAAAAAATGCACAATGTTAACTTTTTTATTTGCTACCTATTACAATTTCCACGGCAGGGTATTACGTGAAATACAACCACAATAATGCTGAGATATTTGCAAAACTCTGGACAAGTGTCCGCAGTGGAGAACGAACGCGGTATTACCCTTTCCCGCGACTAACGCTTTCACGACCACACCATGCGTACCCTTTGCTTCGCCTGTCTCTCGGCTTTTTTATAAAATATTCTGTCAATTTTAAACTCGTTTAGAACTAGAACTAAGAAATGTCGAGAACAATAACTGAGTTGCTAAAATTTCCCAATCACGATCGTCAGATCGCAAAAACCAATATTTGGGGACTCGTGTCCTACTGGACGAAAGTCCGGTTGTTTAATTGCTTTCGTGTTCGAACGACAGGTTTTGACGCGAAAGAAATGGAAATAAAAGCGTTTCATGGGATCTAGAAAATTGGAATTTCACTGTGATAAAATAAGAAAATTTGTGCCTTGTAGGCAAAGATGTACTTACTCTAACGGAACTTATTGCAGTCAATAAAGTTCGATACCAACTAAGCCATAAGACCCGCATGTTTTAAACTACTTCTTTAAGTCAAATTTTGAAGAGGAGATACAAAATTTATACTTCTTCACCTGCTACCTTAGAGTTAAATATTATAAATATTAAGCTAACGAACTTTCCATTATCAGCTTGCTGAGTGTGTTACTATAGTCTTCAGGGTCGCACAGTTTCCCTTCTATAAGAAGACGTTGATTGTCTTGATTTCCACCAATCATACCAGTAGTCTCGAAGTCCATAAAAATAAATGTTTTCACTGGCTCACCAGAACCGAACCTAAAATTTGCCTTAAAAAGGATACACTTGCAAGGTGAATATACCACCGAACGGCGACTGTTGTTCAATTTAACACGAAATGTGTTCGATTAAATATAAATACAAATAAAACGATATACCTCTTGGCGTTGATCAATCCCTGAGGGATGAGAAATGCATTAGACTTCATTAAGCATCGTTTGGAGGTGACTGAATGCATAACTGGCCTTTAAAATGACTTGCGGTGCCCTACCGATGTATCGAGTCAGTGCTGCTTATCCTCTCAGACAAATTTGGTACTAATTTGCCGACCTTTGAGGGACGAGAGACGGAGAATTGGCTGGACCATGGGCGTGGGGATCGATTCCATGTGTATTGCAGGGCACCTCCGACCACTGCGCTACCCAGGATTAAACATAAACCAACAAAATATCGTCAAAAGACGAAGTAGACCGTAAGGCAAAGTAATAAAACGACATCCAGAAACTAACCGTTTTCGTTTTATAATCTTCGTAGGGCTGACAGTAATTTTAACACTTCTTTTCATAGAGCTCGTAGATGGGTGTGCAGTGCCACCCGCAGCACTTTGACACCCAGTTTTTGACGAATTCTGGAAAAAAGCAGCAGTTTGTTCCTTTTTCACTACAAAACAATCATCGTACCCCATCACCAGAAATACTTACTACATCTGAAGTCATCCCTAATTTAGAGGCAAACTGAGCAATTTTGATGGGTGTTGTCGGTAGTGCTGGTGAATGCCCGTCTACGGCACGAAGCTGAAGTGGTGGTGTAGGTGGAAGTTGGGCAACGAAGGGACTATCTCCACCGTCGTCCTCCACTTCATGTTCATCTCCAAAGTCCAGTGGCTGGGTTTCTATCTCCTAGAGAACTGACACATGAAACTTATGTGTTTTTCAAATATCAGTCATTTCATACAGACTTTGAACGGGAGAAAATGTGCTGAATTTTAGTAAATAAAAACAATTGTTCGAGTTTTCACCTACTCATGATATCTCTTCAACTAGCTGCTTTTAGCAAAATTCCAACCCATCAATTAAGCTGGTAAGCGAGCATGTTTTCAAAGGTAACAACATCTATTAGTGAAATACTTACGTTTCCACTTTTTCCGCCATTAAACACGGGTTCCTCGAAGAAACTTTCTGCGCTTTCATCAGAGTCCGTCATCACGTCATTTTGTCTGTAAACGTTTGATATACTCTGAGATGAGATATTGATGTGGGTAAAATAGAAACTGATATCAACAACAGCTTCCACATTCTATGTTAACACGTCTTGGGAGCTGATATTGAAGAGGTGCGGAAAGTAGGACACATAGAATATGAAGTACTTCACGTAATCTCATAAAATGAAACTTCTGTTTTCAGAAACCATAGAGTAGTAACTGAAATAACTCTGCCGTCCTTCTCCACCCTCTCCTCTTTAATCTACAAACAGTACAATTCTCAGAGAACTTTCACTTACTAATAGATCTAACCTGTGAAACGTTTTCGAAAGATATCGACAAACAATATAGTCACGAGAGGGACAAAAAAGGATAAAGGACTGGCCATTACAATAACTCGCGGTGGCCTGCCGATGTATCCAGCCAGTGCTGCTATCCTCCCAGACATGTGTGGTACCAATTTGCCGACCCCGGAGGAATGGAAGGGGTGGTGGGCCATGGGCGCAGGGATCAATTCCATGTGCGTGTTGCAGGGCACCTTCGACCACTGCACCACAACGCGTCCCTTATGAGAAGGATGCTCATAGAAAACCTCATATGGTATCTATTAGAATATCTTGAATATAACTTTGGTTCTACCTTCTCCAGTTTTGATTCATCGTTTTCAAATATAGTGTAAAGCTGATGGCACCGCCACGTAGAAAACTGGCTGAAAGAGAAACTAAACAAAAGCCTCAGTGGGGCAGTGAGTAACAGAAGAGTCCCCGGGAAACGTAATCACGGGTACGAATCTGCGCTGGGCTATGAGTTTTGCAAATATCTCAGCATCGTCCTGGTTGTATTTGATGGTTTAAATCGTTTATGTGCATAGATGTCATACCATGGATTGCAAACTTCGCTCTTTCTGTCAACATAGGACCGTAAACGAGTGTTTAACGCCTTCAAGGGTTTTATGATGGAGATGAGAGGATTGAAGATGATCAGGCTCGCGAGCAACTATGATTGCGTTGACTAAAGCCGTTTCGCAGAAGTTTCTGAAAGAAATAAAGACTTAGTCACTTTTTATTTACTGCCTGTTGTTTCTTCACGGTAGGGTATTATGTGAGATATAATCACAACGATGCTGGGATATTTACAAAACTCCGCACCGCAGGTGTCTGTGGTTGGGATCGAACCTGCTATTACACTTTTCAGAGGCTAACGAGTTCACCACCACACTATGCGGGTCTTTCACTTTGTCATTATATCTTCTTTCAGAGAAATAAAAGTTTTAAGTATGAAAATGCTCAGTGAAATACATCAATCGAACGGAATCTGTATAACCACGGAATAGCTTCACAATAAAAACGCTTTGAAAAAAGTAGTCGTATGACCTAAACCGAACTGGTATTGCCCCTCCCCCAAACAAAAAAAAAGAGAAAAAAAGAGAGAAAGGAAAAAATTAAAGAATCAAGAAATTAGGAAGAAGAAGGCCTTCTACTATTTAGCAAAAACGACCCATTTCTTGGCAACAGTGGTGACGTGAGAATGAATAGAAATGAGATTCACACAATCGACGCCGTTGTATGCAGATTTCAATAAGGACGAGGCAAGTTTTCCAACTCTACAATAATAGGATTCTGATTTTCTGAAGCAAACAAAATGAGTTTCTTCCACAAAGCTTCTACTTCAGGACGAGAAGCGACTGAACAAGCTGTATCCTAACCAGCAGAACACGATGATCTCCCTGGACATGTCGGTGAAGCTTACTGCTGTCGCGTAGACTTCGTCCAAAATTCTTGGAAAACTAGGATTTCGATGAAACTGCTAACTAAGATAAACTTAGAAACCACAGACACTATAAGAACCGTAAAGACTCGTGAGACTCGTGTCTGTAGAGTTCTCGATTCTTTCCATTGAGTTGGTTGTCAGTTATCAAAAAAAAAAAGAAAAAAGAAAAAAATGTCAGCAGTTTCGATGAAATCACTGCGATCACCAAAATGTTAGATCTCTTAAGCGAACTTTTCAGAGGAGAAAGAAAGTACAACCCACAATTAATGGAGAACTGTAATCGGCAGTTTGCGAGGTTACGAAAACAAACAAAAGAAAACAAAAAAAAAAATAAACTACTGCGACGTCCGCTCAAATATACAAATACAAAAAAGCACTAACCGCCACTGCAAATGAAAACACAAAACAGAACAAAGATGAGATAAATATTAAACCTTGTTGGCGACCCTGCAAACAGCTCTGCAAAATCCCTTCTTACGTCCAAAGCCAGATTTTCAAGAAAAGCTTCGACCACTTTTCTTCTCAAATAAACTCTAAGCGTCAATTTGTGAAAGTTCTTAGTAACGACAAATATCCAACAAACATCTATGGTCCCCTAAAACCTTATACGAAAATATATTCGAATATTCAAAAAAGTCGAAAACACTATCAATCGTTTTCACTTTTGAACCCAGAAAGATTAGTGTTTAGTAGGCATCCAGCCTAAATCCCAACCTCTGATTAAAGCACCTGGAGACAGCCGACCCACATTAACAAAACGCTATTGATTCTAGGAGTAACAGTGTTATGAAAATAATAGAAGTAAAAGACATGGAAAACCAATTCAAACAATTAGCGTCAGCAAAAGCAAACACCGTTTTTATCCACCGATTTCGGACAAACGTTATATGGATGGAAAACGGTCTCCACCATAACAGCTCAATCACTAGCTTAATACATAAGATTTCTCTACTACTGATGTTTTCTAATCTCAAGAAAAGGTCAAATAAACCAGTTCTTACCTAACGATTCGTCTTTGAATAGTTTACGAAAGCAGCACTTAAACCTACTACTGTATTAGTTTCATGACAATAAACAGACAACAATTGCATGTCAGAAATGAAAGATGAACTAGATATTCATCAAGATCGTTCGCGGGTCTTCAACTGAGCTCTTGATCTTGCGCAAGAACGTCACTGCTTCCCTACCATCGATGAGACGATGATCGTAGGTCAAAGCCACTTGCATTATTGGACGGATTTCAACCTTAAATTGAAGTTTAAATCACAATTTTTACTTTTTATTCACTGCCTACTAAAATTTTTCATGGCAGGGTATTATGTGAAATACGTTAAAGCCACTTGCATTAATACAACAACAAACGCTGAGATATTTTCAAAACCCCGGACCGCAGATGTCTGCGGCGGGGAACAAACGCGCCATGACTCTTTCCGGGAGCTAGTGCGTTCACCACCACACCATAAGCGTTCAACATTTCGCCTGTTTCTCAGTTGGTTTCTATCTACCAGTACCACATCCCAATCACTTGTCAACGGGATTGGTCTGGGGAGCACAAATTGGCATTGAACTCAGTTAAGCTAAAGCTGTAGTTAAAATCATAATGTTAACTTTTGATTTGCTACCTACTAAAACTTTTCACGGCAGGGTACTATAAGGAATACAAGCAACTTTATATTGCCCACATTTTAATAATGAATGAAATGGGAAAACGAACACCGCCACAGTCTGGAGGAAAACCAATAAAATAGGTTACTACAGTAAGAAAGCAAAATAAGATAACAAGAAGTCTATCAAACCTATTAGTGCTCTAAAAGGTCTGATGCTATCTCAACTATCCGTAACACACGAACTAATGCATTTCCATGACAGTGCTCATAATCTTCTACTTCATTGATTATTTCTTTCAACATCTAGGTAATTGTGATTTTGTAGCCAATAAGCGAGATGAAAAGTAGTTGAGGAAGGTATACCAAAGTTGTACTACGAATCACGGAATATTAGAAAAAAAGTAAAAACAGAACACTAGTGGTTCCGACTGAGTTCCTCTTTGCTCTATGGATACTTTGTTCAACCACATATGAGAATTTAAGGCACTAGTTTAGATTTCTCAGCAATGCGCACCTTTCCGTCTATTGCAACAGGCCTATCGAATATTCCATGCATCCCCAATATTGCGCTTTGAGGCGGGTTTATAATTGGTGTGCCAAAAACTGAACCGAATACGCCACCATTTGAAATTGTGAACGTTCCACCTTCCATGTCCTCTACAGCCAGCTTATTATCACGAGCCTAAATCAATGAACAAGTTCAATAAATACGTTTAAATAGATCCAGAAATTTAATTGTACGGAAGATACATGCACACCCTTTCTCCAAGAGATGCCAACTCCTTCTCAATCTGTGCGAAATTCATCGCTTCAACGTTGCGCAGTACAGGAACCACAAGACCTTTCGGAGTAGCGACCGCGATTGACACATCGACGAAGTGACGGTAAACGATCTCATTTTCATCGATTACTTAACAAAACTTACTTGTACATACTCGCATAAATTAACCAGCCCTTGAACGTTCTATAATTAGCGGTCCAATACAGTCTCACTAACCTGCGTTGACAATAGGGTTTTCGGTAAGGGCGTATGCGGCCGCTCGAACGAATGGTGACATAAGACCAAGTTTGACACCATGCTTCTTCATGAAATCGTTCTGATATTTCGTGCGCATTTCGATTACATTACTGTAAAATGTAATAACTCAATGATGTCCTTATCAATTTTATCATAATAGATATCTCATCGACGGAAACGCAATAAATACAGCTTCAGCTAAGTACTTCGTTAGCTACTGTGTGTTGAAATCACAACAGCATATCTGTGAAGAACGCGTTCTCAATGAATTAATACAAGTTTGGAAGGGAAAGTAACCTATAAAGCTCACAATACGGCAATATTCTCGTAAAAGTAAACAAAAGCAATTCGCAGAATATAGAAGACATTAACCTCATGTCGATTTCATTAAATGTGGTGAGCATTGCATATGTGTTTTGAGCATCTTTAAGACGTGTAGCAATACGCTGTCTCATTCGATTCATTTTTACACGAATCTGAAGAGTGTATAGCATATGAATACTACCAAATTTCAATCGGGGTGAGTAAATTTCTTAGGACCTCTTCCCTTGCACCAGTTATAGCCAGTTCAGGAGCAACACCAGCAGGTACTGTAACACGCTGAACCGGAATATTAGCTACTGATATAGAAGACATTGGTGCAGACGGTGAACGTGGAACGGGTGGAACAGTTTTTGGAATTTCTCCTAAACAAAACCCGAAAAAGTAAGGCATTAATAACGGAATTGAAGCGTACCTTGTAAATGCATAGAAAACGGTGATGTAGGCGATGAAGGCATTGGCGGCAATGGAGGAGGCTCTGCCGCAGCGTGTTTTGATGGCGCACTTGACTTCACTGCTTCCTTTGATGTTCCAACTTTTGAGGTCTCCTTGGGAGAAGTCTGAGATCAAAGTCTATTAAAACGGTTCACTTTAAAACGCGTCTGCTAATTTTATCTAACACAATCGCGACAGCAGGCACTAATTTCAATCCATGCCCAGCCGAAAATAATTGCCCACTTGAATCTACTGAAGTTTTTGAAATGAAGCAATTACGATCTAGAAAATTTCCCTCCAAGAAGATAGAACTTTTTAGGTCGAAAAAACTGTGATATTTCCGAATGCTCGTTGTTTTTTTATTCTTCACCATATATATTTCCAATTCTAATGCGGTGACACATTTGGGACCTCGGCCCTAATGAACCGTTGAGGTTTGTGGGTATCACATCGAGTCCTTCAAAAATAAAAAATTCGTAGGACCTCTCGTGAATTTGAATTTTAAACAAATCTGAAAACAAAACATATCCAAGATAAGTTATTTATACCATTAGAGCGATAGTTCCGAGTCTCCTCTATAAGCATGCTGTCAAATATTTCAGATGCCGAAAAATTACTAGCAGTTGTCAAAGGAAAAAGAAAACAACTTCGTTATCTACTATGGTAAAACAAGTCATATTTGTTGTAACTCAGAATGTTAACCCATTGCATGTCAGTAGCCTCTACTTCTTTCATGATTTTATATGAACAAAACACCCACGCTTGCAGGGGCACCCGCCCCAGCTGTTCCAGGTTGGAGCTTGTAGAGCTTTTGCTTAGCTGTAACCTTCCCTCCGTCTTCAACAAGAAGTTCAACAATAGTTCCTGCTTGTGGCGCTGGCACTTCCACAGACGTCTAAACGGTTACTATTGGAGCGAACGAGTAATTACTGACTCTTTCTGAAATGATGAAAAAAAAGCTACATTAGAATTACAGAAATCCAAGACATGTGAAGGTGGGAGTTCTTCGAAAAACAACGAAAATGACCAATGCAATCAATGCGATTTACTTATTTAATTGTTAAGAAATACGTCATTGGAATCACCACCTTGATTTAAAAAAACCCTCTAAAGGTAACAACAATTGCATGGAATGTTAGAAGGTCGTTGAGGAAGTCCAGCTTTCATATCGTGTTGCAGCACCTCACAAAAACCCGAAAGGATTCCGACACCCTTCCCTCACCTACGATGAGTGGTGGAAATTGACATGTTAGGCACACATATACATGCATACACAACTGATGGTACTGTCCGCCTATCAAGATGTAAACACCTAGATGCGATTAGCTTTAGTTAAAGTAATTTCAGCACCTTTCAACCACGTTCCCAACGCTCCCCTCCACCCACATGGGAACGCCTTAGCTTGCCTATCAACAGAATTGCAAGGAGAATCGACTCGATAACCATTCTGCGACATTCATAAAGAAGACAAATCCTCAAGTAGCAAACGAAACCAAAAATGGTGTTCGAAGACCACCGTGGACGATGGATGCCGAGTAAAACGAATCGGATGCAAGAAGTGCTGGGATACGCACATAAATGTGATGAGGGCCATGCAAATAAATAATAGTAAGCTTAAATTGATAAAGGATAAAGATCTCAGTGTTGACCAATCGTTGAACGATTCACCATGCATTGGACTTAATTAAACATCATCTGAGGCGATTGAATACATATCTGGCCTTTACAGTGACTACCGCTGCCCTACCCATGTACCCAGCCAGTGCTGCTATCCACCCAAACAAGTCTGGTATCAATTTGCTCATCCTGAAAGAATGGAACACTTGCTAAGCCTTGGGCGCAGGATCGACCCCATGTGTATTGCAAGGAGGCTCCGAACACTGCGCTTTATGCGCCTTTGCGATTAAATAATTTTAACAGGAACAGATTAGAAAATTTTAGAAACAGATTAGTTCGGATATATACAATGCACAAGGTTGAAAATAATAAGTAAGCGGTTGATTATGCTTTTCCAAATAAAGTTGAATAACTTCACCTTATCAGTTTCAATTTCGGCAACTAGCTCATCTTCGTTGACAAAATCTCCCTTTTCTAAAAAAACATCTCAATGTACTACACTAAGGATAAGACTTTGAAATTGCGAAGACCTACGTTTAATCCAACGTATGTCTCCTTCCGAAATAGATTCCGCAAAGGCAGGACCTTCCACAACAATAATGTCACTGACTAAACACGGTAGTCTCGTATTTAAAAAGCATATTTGCCAGCAAAAATTGCTGATTTGAAAAGCATATTACAAGCTTCGGAAAATCTCTCTTATGTGAGATGTATAAAGCTAGTTGTTTTCAAAGCTGCGTCGTATAGGATACAAAGCTCAAGGCAAAGCAAAAGCGACCAGGTACTCAACATGATCTAAACTGTTTAGAATACAAGTTCCTTAGCTCTTCTGCACCGATTGAGTTCAGATAAGTCCCACATTTCTAGCATCTATAAGCCCATTTATGCATAAATAAATGTCAGAAATCAGAGTCACCCTGGGAGAAAGGTGACAACAACGTCACAGCAGTAACTAACATTACCATTTCATATCAAGCACAGTCAAAAGCCAGTTTCAGAAATATATCTCAGGATTTCTGAGAAACTCCCCTCTATCAATTTTTGCCAAGTTTTCGAGGCACGTAAGCCTGTGGACTGCAACCTGCACACAAATTGAGAAAAAACTTGAGATTTGCATTGACTGGGAACTATATGGGCAGGATTCCGCGGTTGCCTGCAGTGAACAACCGCTAGGCCTACTACAGCTGAAGCGACCCACATGTATAACCACTATCCCCACATCAAAAGTAGTATGGATAAAGTGACTCATGCATGAAGCGTGGAGCTTTTCGTGGCTCTGAAGTGAACAAAGCATATTTCCATGTCTGGCTCTTAATTAGAGCAAATACAGAAGTTGATATTCACTGGGGTTACTTAATGTCTAATGTGTTTACGAGTAATTTACGTAATTACCAGATCAATGAGGAATGACTCACATTTAATTCCACTGGTATGAATGGACCTTGTTGGAATGGAACTGGTTTGAATAATTGGATAATGGATTGAAGCAGATAAACGACCTAAGAAATAAAATGAAACTATTTGAAAAACACAAGAATAAATGGAAACAAACGAAGTGGTATTGGTAGCAGCTATAGGTCAATAACACGGGTGAGAGAAAGGTGAAACGAAGGACTCGCATGGTATGGTGGTGGGCGCATTAGCCACGAAAAGAGTAATAGCGTGTTCGCCCCCCCCCCCCACAGACACCTGCAGTCCGGCGTTTTACAAATATCTCAGCACCATTATGGTTATATATCACACACTACCTTGTCATTAAAAATGAGTAGGCAGTAAATAAAGAGAAACGTAGTGTTCAGAGTTTTACGAGAAGTGAAACTCACAAGCTACTACACATTGGTGTGGAAATCTTGAAGATGAACAACGCTGAAAAAGTCGAAAAAACTAAACATCGTAGAAAACTGGACAGCAACCAATCAAGTCATAGAAAATACCTGTCGTGCAACATTTATTGCCAAGTTCTTAAAAGCTGGAACTCTACGGGAAATCATTTTGCTCTAACGCCGAACTGCTCAGAACGGCAGGGACTTCAGAACAAGATGGAGGAAACCCTGGAAAATCAACACAAAACTCCTGTCGGCTATACTTATGAAGAGCATAATATCCTAAAGTTCAATCTCTTATTACGCTATTAAGTTTCCAGCTAATAAACAACGAAGCACCAAAAAAAAGAAAAAAAGAATTTTTCAGAGAAAGCTTGCAAAAGATGATAAGCCTAGGAAGCTATAGAAAGCAGAAATAACAAGAATATTGAAGTACGACAATGTGAGGGATTTCTTCGTTTAGTAGAAAAGGTTACAAGAGCACATGGGATGGCAAAACTCCAGATCTATCCCTAACCATCTTTTGAGACGTACTTGATTCGACAAAAATACGTACGTCCAAGTACAGGACAGAAATAGTGGAAAGAAACCAGCAGACATAAGGGTCCCTCGTCCCTACAGTGGTTTTTAAAACACACCAATAAGAATCTCACGTTAGCTTAACAATCTAAGAAGATCTCCCTGGAAAACACTGAAGCACTGAAGAAGTACAGGTAACATGTTATTACAAGTACCATAACACAAACTATATGTATCACACTACAAGTACTAATAGTACTGAAAAAAATGCATGAAAACGGGAAGAAGATAAATCGAAGTACTGAAGAACTACAAGGATTATAGTACTACAAGTACTACAAACATTGAAAAACCACTTACGAGCAGGATGTCATGCACATTTTCATGGAAAGATACATTATGATTACAGCATATTCAAAATGACATGTAGCACAATCTATGAGTTCCAATATTATGAGTACTAGAAGTACTGAAGAACCACATGAGAGCAGGAATATGGCGAAGTGAAGTACTGGAAAACCATATATGAGAAAGAATACGAGGTACTACTGAAGTACTGAGAAACTACAAGCATTATACAATTGCAAGTACTGTAGCATGAACTATAATTGTTATACTACTACTGAAAGTATTACAAGTACTAAAAAACTACATAGCAGAAAGAATATGATGTACACTTGCCATGAAAAATACATTATTACTATAACATAATTAAGACTACAGTATACTCAAAATGGTACGCACCCCTCGAGGTCCCTAGCGAGCAGCAGCCTTGCTCTAACGATCGAACTGGGCTAGGAGGGAGGATTATGGATACACAATGATGGGGAAGTCACGGAGTAAATAAGGGATTCATGTTGGGTGCTAATAACTAGAACCATAACCGCTAGGTCCCTTACGGACATTTGGGTATACCGAATGACGATTAGAGAATAAATCCCTAGACATAGCGCCGCGTCAAACATCACCAGTAATCGAATAACTCGAACTTACCACTCGAAGGTTTTAAGGGGTGGGATTAAGTGGAAATCCGATTTCCTTCATTAAGTATTCGTCTGTAACGTCGTTTATGTACTACGTAATCCGTATACGAATACTAGTGAAAGTAAGGCTATCGGATTTGTCACTTGGGCTAATCGATAATAGAGCTACTTTTGTAGAATTCTTGAAGAGTAATCATCAATCGATAGCAGATCTAGTCGGAAGTAATCTGACCGTAGCGGTGTTGAAGTAATATTCTGTTATGGTAAACGTGCTCCGAAGACTTCGTGTTTCGCGCGATTCCTTTACATTGTTCCGTCTCATTTCTTTTTTCTTCTTCTTCTTTCTTCTCATTCTTTCCCGATGTACTCAGATTTTGATTACGCCGCTTAAAGCACTTTAAGACGTTTTGATCAGAGTACTTCTTTCAGACGAAGTAAAATGTTCACTTCATTACTAGTTCGACGATCTTTTTGTAGTTTTTGTTGCACATTACCATCGAGTTCTAAAAGGTGAGCTCTGTAAGGTTTCTTTTAAGATCTCTTCGATTTACTAATGCTGTTTTGCCTTATCACCTTAAGGAGTTCAGGTTATTTTGTGTCGCTTCACGGCAATTTCTAACGTCAACGTTGAGTCCTACGATTAGGGGGGTCGGTGGAAATGCGTTAAGAAGCACTTCTATAAGGAATGTTAGTGGTATTCATTTCCTTTTTCTTTTTTATTTGGCTCCTTCAGTATCAAAAGTGTTCAGGTCACGACGGTTGAAACAAAACGTGCTGCTCTAAAATTAAAGAATGCCTCACTAAGAGATTTAAAAGCAATATTTGCCTTAGCAGGACCATATAAGTGGAGAATCGTTGGTAAGTAGACACTGAAATGACCTTACTTTCATCATGGATCCTTCCGATTTTAGGAAAGTTTTGTTTGATTACCTCTTTTGATTACCTCTGATGTACGTTCTCTAGCTGGTCTTTCCTTTCTTGGCGTAAGCAGTTCGATTTTTTTGCTAACACCAAGAGTGCTGGGAAAGCTAATCGATGAATTCGACGAGGCAAAGAAAGAAGCAGATCTAGGACATGAAGATAAAACTCTTCTGATAGCAAAGTATGTGTCATTTTTCTTTTATTTCATTCGATTTTGATTACTATGAGCGCTTCGTTTACGTCGTTTGAGTCGTCTCTTTTGCATTGCTGACGGGATGGATTCGTTTTCTGATGAAATTCTAGCCACTGAAAGTTTGCCAATGTCTAAGGTACTTCAAGGACAATCCTCTTGCTTTGATTGGAGTGCTTTTCCTTGGCGGTGTTGCAATAACAGCAAGAGTTTATTGTATGCATACTGCAGGTATACCCTAAATACCTTTTGTTTAGGTTTAGGGTTTAGGTCAAGGTTTAGCCAAGTGCTCAGTGATGAAGCCTTTGTTTCAGGACAGCTTATCATTAACGATCTTCGTAAATCTGTTTTTAATGCTGTTTTGCGTCAAGATATTGCTTTTTTTGACAAAAACAAGGTTTGGTTTCTGATTTATTTCTTGTTTTACTGCGAATTGACGTAAAGTTGGTCTTTTGCCAAGGACAAGCATTCAGGTCGGTGAAATTGTCTCTCGGCTTTCTACAGATGCTCTCATAGTAGGATATTCTGTGTCTATGAATCTCAGCGACGGTGCTAGAGCTATTTTAACATGCCTTGGCTCAGGAGGTCTCATGGTAAACCTAAATTTTATATCTCATCTCGCATCGTAGCACTGTTTTTTCTATCTAAATTTCTAGTATTCGTTCACTTTGATGGTCTGTTTTTTTTTCTTTTAGGTGTACACATCTCCAGCGCTATGTCAAGTTATGTTCGTGGTCATTCCAATAATTGTTGGGACTTTTGCCATTTTCGGTAAACTGCAGAGGAAGTATACATTACAAATGCAAGAGGCAGTTGCTGGAGCTAATCAGGTGCTGTTGGATGTCCTCATTGTCTGCATTCTTAATGGGTCTTCGTTTTTTTTTCACAGGATGTTCTTGTAATTTATAAAGCGGTATATTATACAAAAGGATACGTGTGGCGCAGAGGTCGAAGGCGCTCGGCGGTACACACAGGATCGATCCCCATGCCCAAGGCCCAACAAACCTTGTATCCTTCCGAGGCTGGCAAATTGACACCAGTCTTGTCTGGGAGGATAAACTCACTGGCCCGATACATCGGTAGACCACCGCGAGTCATTCTAAAGGCCATTTATGCGTTCAATCATCTCCAACGGTGCTTAATGAAGTTGAAGGCATGCCGCATTCCTAGGAGATAGATTGTTTTCAGTTTCATTGTTCACTTATCTATCGGAGTAATGGTAAGTAAAGGATAAAGTATAAAGCTCTCGGCGTTGATCAGCCTCTTAGGGATGGACCATGCATTTGACTTAGTTAAACATCGTCTGAGGCGATTGAATACATATCTGGCCTTTACAATGACTTGCAGTACACTACCGATGTATCGAACCAGTGCTGCTATCCTCCCAGGCAAGTCTGGTACTAATCTGCTGACCCTGGAGGGATGGTAGACTTGGCGAGCCACGTGCGTGAGGATCGATCTCATGTGTGTATTGCAGGACGCCTCCGAGCACTGCGCCACACGCGCTAATTCATATGTATACCTCTATATATACATATATATATACACGTAAATATACATATATATACATGAATTAGCGTGTGTGGCATATATATGTGCATATATATGTACGTACATATATACGTTTATGTATATATATGTATATATATCAGAAAACATGTCAACATTTACCACACAACATATCTATATCTATGGTGCGAAAATATTTACCAGTAAGACATTAAACTAAAATTATGAGCTCATGGTTATAATTACTACTGAAGTGAATGGACAACGAATAGACAAGATAAGGGAAGGTACTCGTGAATATGAAGGAATTAATATGTTAAGTAAATTTAGATTCACCGAAAACAAAGCACCAACTCTCACAATTATTACATTTTCAAGGACGAAAATGTAGAAGATTATGGATTACACACGACAAGTCGTCTATTCCCTAGGACTTCTTCATAGCGACAGTTGTACAGTGGAAGTACTCTTTCGTTCCTCGACATCAAAATGAGACAATGTCTTATCGCAACGATATGCCTTTGGAGTTAGCTTCACTAGTGAGTTATGTGCAATGTCGATGTACGGTAACTCGTCCAACTATCTATCCTGGAAATACTCGAGAATACAACGAACAACAGCTTGATAGGAGATAACCAGTACATTCGATTGTCTTTCGAGTTCCATTATAACTGGTTCCAGCCTAGAGACACCGTCTTCGTGTGATTCACCATATCAATAACGATAGTGGTACTTATTCCGCAAACGATCCTCTGTTAGCTTGCCGCTGTTAAATGTCCACATGAGTGTACCCTTTGCAAATTACAGCGTCGGTTTCATCTAATGCTTTCCAGTATTCTGTATGGAAGGCAGGATTTAGTCCCTGGGTCTTCGGTGCGGTACGGGCTTTTAAGAGCGCCAAATCCGAAGATCAGAGATATTCTCGTTTGCGAAAAACTTGCTCAGAGCTTTGGCGTACAATTCTCGATCTGTTTTTAGTGAGAAATCGCCACGTTTTAGGAAATCTTCTCTTGCTTGCTCAGCAGACATCAGACCCTCGTAATATGGAGAGTTAACATCAGCTCTATTACTGTCGATGATTCTTTCATCATGAAAAACCGACTCAATGAGGGAACATAGCTACGTTTTCCGTCATTGCTTCGTAGTGTTTGTTGCGTCAGATATAGCCACATTGCAAGCACCGGATTTCAAACAGTCCCCCATATCATTCATTGCTCGACGAGTTGAGTCCGTGCGCACTTTGAGAGCTGCCGCTTTATTTGTTGAAAAGAATGAGGCATTCACTCCATGCACTGCATCAGAAGCATTCGCTTCCATTCGACGGTACTCACCAACGTTGAACAGTTTGGTTTTTATTCCTATACAGTTGAAATACGACATAATTTTTTCGACATGTACGTCTTTCCGCGGGCAGGTAGCCCCATCATCGCAATCACATTCGGTATTCTCACTTGCTCTGAAAATCTATGTTCCTGTGAATAAGCGACCCTTATCTTTGTGGTTATTTTTTTTTGGTGACATAGTAACCGGATTCGAACAGGATACCTCTGCTCATGTAAGGATACTGGCATCTTGGTATAAGCTTAAGATCGTTTGGAGTTTTGTCATCTGTGGCGATTGAGTAAGTCAGTATACTAGTAGTTCGATGACATTTAATGTGAAGAGTATGAGATTGAGAGAGTGGGAGATACGCATTATTCTTTATTTATAGTATACATTTTATGAACACAAAACGCCACTGAATTTTCTTCGTGCTTTCAGCAATTCTATGCAATGTTCAGTTTTTCTTCAGGTTGCAACCGAGCGTCTATCGAATGTCCGCACTGTTCGCATGTTGGTTGCAGAACAGAAAGAACTTGCTGCTTACGGCGCAAAGATTTTTGACATTTGGAATATATCTAGAAGGGAGGGTTTCGCACGTGGAGCCATGTATGGATCGGTATGGATTCATTGGATCGTCATTCTGTGAGTGCCCATGGAATTCAATGTGCTGTCATTCATGTCCGAATTCCAGTTCCAATTCACTGGTTATGTTGCACTTTCAACAGTACTTTTCTATGGTAGTAATCTGATCAGTCAAGGATTGTTAACCTACGGTATGTTGAACTAACATCGTTTATTGTAGTTTCATACTTGTTCATGTCACGTGTTCTTTTATACTTTCCAGGTGATTTGTCTTCTTTCTGTTTATATGCAGTACTATGTGCAGCAAGCTTATCAAACATGTCCGGTTTCTTCATAGAGATTATGAAGGTGGGCCTTCCTACTATCTAACCACTATGGCACGGTTACTATTTTTCGATAACTAGTTTGCAATGTGATGTCTAGTTTTCGTCACCTGCCCCGTATTTCTCGGAAACAAGTACTTGAGAAGCAGATACTTGACAAAAGTATAAGAGACACTTTGATCTATCTCTTTAGGAGGACGTATTTCTATCAAATGCTACCTTAATTCTTCACTGGTCAACGCAACGGGTCTGCGCTTAACTGTATTTGGACGTCGCGTCTAATTGGCGCGCGCATTCTAGTATCTTGCACATAACCAGTAAATTCATTATCTCTGAACCTCACTCTCCAGCAGTGTCCTGTGTGGTATGCCCTCCGCTGGACACTTTTTTGTAAATTGTTTTGTAAATTGCCAAGTATGGAGAGTTGATTTTATCGACCGACGGTTGCTGTATTAATTCATACTGGATAAACGGTTGAATTAATACAGAATGTACATTAAAAGGCCTATGTGAAACAGAACGAAAGACTGGAAAAAAAGTGAGCTGATATTGCTTCATATCGGCTGATATGCCTCCATGTAGAAATGGAATTTCGTTTATGTCAAGGTAAAATGCAAATGTGCATAAAATTAGGGGTGAACTTCAAATTCTTTATGTTTTAAGTGATGCAGTTGCAGACATTAACGATACATTGGAAGAAATCATCATACAGACCCTAACACAAAAACCTTTAGCGAGACCTATACCTTGCTGGAAAGGATTAATAGATTCTAATGATTTTAATTTATATTGCTAATGTTCGTTATGGACACATGCAGCATGTGGTCAGAGGCGCCCTACGGTACCTATGGGATCGATGTCCACACCCAAGGCTCACCAAGCCTTTCACTCTTCCGGGGTCAGTAAATTGGTACCAGACTTGCCTAGCAGGATAGCAGCATTGACTCGATACATCGGCAGGCCACCGCGAGCAATTGTAAAGGCCAATTGGGCATCTAATCACCTTCAGCGATGCTTAATGAAGTCGAATACTTGGCGCATCCCTCAGTGTTTGCTCAAGGCCGAGAGCTTTATCCTTTGTCCTATCCTTAAGGCTTTTATGTGCAAAGATACCTTTACTTAAAGTTAGCGATACAAATATTTCAGGCTACATATGAGCTTGAATAATTCGTGACGACTCTTTTGCTTATTCCTCAACCTTAGTGCATCCATTTACTACTATAAATCTCATGTAAAACCTATGTGTTAATGGAATTTGAAATTTTTTATGGATTGATGTTTACTTCTCGTAGAGCTCTGTTTCATTTATTTTTATTTAATAGAAAGAGGTTTTGAAGTCTTCATGTCGAATTCACCAGTATTGTTAAGGGTTTGGGTGCGAGCTCTAGGCTTTTTGAACTTCGCAATACTGAGCCTCAAATTCCGTTAGAGGGTGGCTTAAAGAAAGGAGATGTTAATGAATCTATCAGGTGAGTGTAGTAATTGTATATACCGTTTCCTAAAATTCGTGTTAGCTTTTAGTTTTATTCCTGTTCGTTTTCTTTTTAATTAGATCTGTCTATTTACTTCGTTTGCAGCCGTTCTATTCCCTTATAACCAAAGGAAAGCCTTTTAACTATTGAAAAGAGTCTAAGGAAGTAGCAAAATGAGTCTTTAGGGTTTTTCTCTTTTTCTTTAACAGTTTTAGACAGTTTTACTGTCATACTACTTGATGAAATGAATCGTTGGTTTTTCTAATGGATGATAAAAGTGCATGTGAGGATGCCAGTCCTATAGATTTGACCGAGTGGCTTTTGCATATCCGGGAAGAGATCCGCTGTTCCATAATGTGTCGTTCGAAGTTCCATCTGGACAAATTACAGCTGTAGTTGGTGCATCTGGAAGCGGAAAATCAACGATAGCTAATCTTCTGTTGAGGTATCTATCTTTATACGCTTATTTCCGATCATCGTTGCCAATTTTCTAGCGTAATATATCACATGAAAAAATGTGAAATCCAAGGAAGAGTTAGACAAAGTCAGAAATAGATTTTCAGACAAGCTCTTAAGAAAGCGATGATGTAATGTCATTACCAAGTTTAACACATAGTTCGTTATGACCGTTGCTAGGGCAGGTATACGGCTATTGAGGCTTAGAGTGTAGCCCTTGTGAGGATTATAATTGTTGTATAGAAAAGGGTTTTTTGTTTTCAGTTATATTGTGATGTTATGCTGTTCTATGCGGACTTCCTTATTTCAAATGATTGAATTTATCTAATTCAGTGATTTATGTCACGATAAATGTACCACTGCAGTTAGCAAAATGAGTTATTTTTTAAGGCTTTATGATCCGGTTCGTGGCCGTATTTTGATAGACAGCGTAGATTTAAAAGATATTGATCCGTCGTATTGGCGAAGACAGATTGGAACTGTAGGGCAGGTTCGTTTTATTTTCCTCGTGGTTGTATCTAAGTAGTTCTGTTAAGCACAGATGCTTTCACTCTTAAAAACCGGCTGGGCGAAGCTGGTTGTGTTCCTTTCTTCTTTTCCAGCATTCGGTTTATTCTTGCGGAAGGTCTGTTTATTTTAGGAACCAATATTATTCTCTACAAGTATTCGCGAAAATATCTTATATGGTGCTGAAAATCCAGAGCAGATTACTGAAGATCAGGTGACTAGTCTTAAGTTTTTTCGCTTTGTTTTTGGTTTTTTCAATTTCTAGCTCTAAATTTTTGTCCCTGGGTAGATTGAGCATGTATCTTGTTTTCATCATTACAGATTGTAGAAGCCGTTGAGCAGTCGAATGCTCTTGATTTCATCCAGTCATTTCCTGAAGGATTTGATACGATGGTAAGCTATCGTACATTAAATTGTTTAGCTTGTATAAAATTGCCCATTTACTCATGTTTTTCTTATATATTATATAGGTCGGTGAGCAAGGTTCAATGCTGAGCGGAGGTCAAAAGCAACGAATAGCAATTGCCAGAGCGCTTATAACGGTAATATTTTGATTTAACACATTCGCGATAATGCGCATTGACTTCAGTGAGCGCGTGGTAGGCAAAGCGAATTGTACCTATGGACTTCAACATATTTTGTTCTGGATGTTTTTCCTGCTCAGAGTTCTTTTGCTGTACTTTTTGTGTCCAGTCAACACCAACGGCAGCACATTTTGCATCAGGAGCCGACCTAGAGCGCTTATTTTGTACACCTTCTCTTTGCAAACTTTTTCAGACACGTTTGTTCGTTTCATCACAGAGAATTTTGCCAGTCAATAGTGTGCTAAGGATGGAGGTCCACAGAAAAAAATTAGCTAAAATGGCTCTTCTGTACAGATACAAATTCATGAGTCCCGCTGCTGTTTTTTTTATCCTTTTTGTGGACTCAATGATACAAAGACTGTTGCTTGTGAAAGGGTTGCATGTATTATCTCATCTTTGGAGTTGCACAACAGATGATGTGCGTTGACCTGATTGCGCACGGGTAGTACAGAGAAATTAGACTGTCCCAAGTGTCGCCCAGTCAAAATTGGTCGTTTCCGTGAATGTGTTGTAAATGTTTTCCTTGTTAAAACTAATCCATTAAGAATCCCCGAATTCTTATTCTTGATGAGGCCACGAGCGCCTTAGATGCAACATCCGAATATCTAGTTCGAAAGGCTCTCAACCGGTTACTCGAGAACAGCCATCAAACAGTGCTTATAATAGCTCACAGGTATATCTGGTAAATAGCGTCTCTTCACCGTTTTATTGAGAGAGATTTTAAAGAGGTTCTTAAAGTTGATAGAGATCTTTAACTTTAGATTATCTACTATTAAACACGCCAATCAAATAGTCGTGCTGGACAAGGGGAGTGTTGCCGAGCGAGGCAGCTTCGAAGACCTTATGCACGTAAGGGATGGCATTTTCAAAAAACTCGTAGAGAAACAAGCTATCAGCTGGAAAGAAGAAGCTTACTGATAGATTTACTGGGCGGCAAGATGAGGTACTTATGCACTTTGTACATGTAAAGGGGGAAAAAACTTGGAGCTCATGATAAATCCTGATCACTTAGTAGAAGTTGATAATTTTTTAATTGCTAAGAACTTTTCAAAATGCTGTCTTGAGCAAAACCCGTGCATATTCATCTGGACCCTGTACTGTAAAACATGAGTGATTTTCTTCATTTTCTGTCTCAGCAATCGCGAGGTTGTTGAACAGCATAACGTTTACTTCCACGCAATAACACATACAACACAATTGTAGCTGGCGTTTCGGCAGAATCGTCTTCTTCAGAGCCGTTTTTTTACGTGCCTTCGTTGTAAACCATATTCGACGCTGATTAGCGGCTCTTCCTCAATGGAAGGCACGTAAAAAAACGTTCTTATTAAGGCGATTCTGCCGAAACGTCAGCTACGAATATGTTGTATGTCTATTATTGTATGGAAATAAACGTATGCTGTTTAACAACCTCACGACTGCTAAGACAGAAAACGACGAATTTATAATCCAATGCCGAGGTTAATAGAAATTCGATCCTGGAAACTGACACATGATTTTGTTGTTTTGATGTTAACATTTGTTCGTTGTATTCAGATGGGCACATTTATTGTTTTTAAATATGCTCCATGTTTTTTCACTCGTTCTTATTCTAAGGTCACATATATGAAAATTTATGCAAAATTATGCAGAAGCGTTCCCACAGGCGAACAATTCTCGATGAATTGATGAGAGAATCGATTAGGCGTACGGAAAAGTTTTCACTATTCATTTCCCAACTTTGTTCCTCGGTGCTAAGAAATCCAAGGAGAATTGTGATGCATTTATTGTTATAGAAGAAAATAAAAACATTAAAAGGCGAATGGCATATGTTCGTTCCTCTCGAAGTTTGTATCTACATTTTTTGTTTCAGCGAATGTTAGTCAAAAAGACAGAAATGTTGGATATGGTAGAAGTATGATTAGCTTGTTTGCTTTAAAAGTGGGAGATAAATATGTATTCTATAGCTTGAGGGGTGTGTCTTACATATCACTTGTGTATTCGTTGTTATTAGATGGTTCCCACCTACCAGTGCCCATATTGTTGTCCTTCAGGTATAACTGCTGAGTAATTCTTGATCTTGAATCTATACTTATTCATGGGGATATTTACACTATGAATTCTCTAGTGGATATAGTAGGTTCATTTTTAACAGGAAAAGCACCGCTAAAATATACTGAATTTGTAAACTCTCCTGCAAGGTTGTGAACATTGTCTTGGTCAACATTGACTGGGGACTATCCAAATTCACCAGATGGGCAATGTGTATGATCTTCACTGCTTTCAGTTAATTCGTTAAAAATTTAGAAGGTTGTTTATGTAGTAGAGCTAGTTGTATCAAGAAATAAGTGGTGTTGGGATAAACGGTTTTCGTAGCCCAAATATATTGCCTATCAAGTTTTCAGTCGTAGTCGTCGTACAATATAGAGGAGTGAATGTAAAAGCTACATATTTCATATGCATATTAACAAACGCGTTGTTATACTTATTCAAAGATTCATTGAACACAATACATTTTCTCAAACTATGCAAGCAGTTAACAGAGTAAATGAAAGGCAGCAAAGTCTAGAAGTCATTGAAAGGAGCTTTCGAGCAGACCGACGAAATAGCATCGATTATTTCATCCGCATTTCCGAGTTCAATACATAAATTGTTTAGCACGTAGACGTATTTAAGGACATAGTTGTGCTGAAAGTATTAAACTATTTAGACCATAAATGGCTGTCGTACTTTTCATTTCTCCCTCTCGTTTTTTTCCAGTACTGATAAAGATGTGCGAACACTTTTTCAGGAGTGATAAGGGTATGATTAGTCGATTTTTAAAAAATCAGCTGGCTATTGTCCGGCTATATTCGTATAAGGAGGCGTACCTAATTTACTTAACGGTACATTGTGACAAAAAATTTCGAAATAATGTTGTTAACAGAATTTATAAGTAACCAAAAGGTATTACGTTACCTTATTCATGTCGATGCAAATCAAATCGAATGCTCGTACTACGTCGTCATGACAGTCTAAATCCTCGACAGAGTTCCGTTCTTCCATCATTCGTCGCCTGAGCAGTCATAATATGAATAAGATGATCCTGTTTATATTTATTAGCCAGCGCGAATAGTGATCGGAAACGAAAACAATCCCACCTATCGAGTGGTTCTTCAAGCAGGCTGTCAATAAGCTTCAAGAATAGGGATTTGATGCTACGCCTCTCCTAAATGTAATCATTTCGGAAACATACATTCTGTAATTTCCAACGGTTGTTTTGATAAGTAAGTTTGAAAAATATAATGCGGTAGTTAAACTTGCACTGCAATATACACAAGGTCTTCAGTTCCAATCCGTGCACTAAGTTAATCAAATCCAGCATCCATCGGAGGTCAGCAGAAGTGAAGTACCGAACCCCTTTGGGAGTTTTATAGATGCTGATACCTTGATAAGCTCTCAAGTCATTATATAGATCACAGGTGCACTCACTACATGCTTAACACTTGACGACGACTAGTCTTGGGTCTGTTGCGGACTAGGTGATGGTTGTTTTTTTTTGGCATTTATGGACTTGCTGGTTTTTTCTAAAAATAAACAGTAATTTTTCGACAACTGGAGGACTTCGTGATTTGTGAAAATGAGTACGTTGTTGAAAAAACTTTGCTCTGTCGTACTATAGGTATGGATGATATTTTTGATGCTACTTACTGTGTGTTAGTATGGTCCATTACACGAATACGTTACTGTCAGCATTTGGAAGTGTTTTGCAACTCATGGGTCTCTGTTTCAGTATTTTTTATACCCAGTTTACATTTATTATTTTACAGTATTTTATATTTACATAACCATAACTGTCATTCGTTATCTTTCCAATGGGTTACCACCTCATCGTTACTGGGTGTTCCTGAGTGTCGGGCTGCGATGTACGGTGGAGGGATTCGTCCCTTCGGAAGTCCATCCCAAGCTGGGGAGTCTGGCGTTTCCATCAGGAAGCTCGGTTAAGAGTAAACCAATACCAGGGTCCACCACCGGCCTGGTATTGAACTAGGCGCATGGTGGCAAATCTCCGTCTAATCCACAACGACGGCGACTGCCTGTGATGACGACCTGGGGCAAATTTTGGTTAGGCTGACATCGGAACTCCAGGAAACCACAATGGTAAAGCAAGCAAAACTCTGCAAAAGTGGGAATTATGCTGGGGTCCGGAGAATCAGTGAAGACGTGCCATCCAAGTATCCCAATAAGTAATTATCATTCTTTATAGCAAATAGAATTGGAATAGTAGTCGATTGATACCTAAATTTGTGGTTGGTGAATTCGTTCGGAAAGCAGTTTATGTATATTTCTAAGTGGAGAATATAGCTTTTCCTGATCAAAGCTTAAAGTAGCATCTGTGTTCTACAAACTATCAAATGATAACAAAATGTATGGGGAAATGGTTTCTTGTTTTAGGATAAACCATTGGAATCAGAATGGAACCTATAGGTAGCGCATCTTTACGGGATTGATCAACGCCAAACACCTTGTACTTCAACTTTACAAAATGCTTGTCTCTGTGAGCACTTTTTAAAAAGGTGGCACAAGTATTCTACTTTTCTAGAAAATTAGTGCACCTGATGTATTTTACGTATTTCTCGACGTAGCTCTTTGGCGACAAAAATGTCGTCAATTTCGTCCTTGAGTTGATGAAGATACATAAGCTCGACGTCTCGTGAAGGCCATGAAAACACCGCATGCAATTCCTAATTTAGTAAAATCTTTCTTAAGAGGATGGAAATTGTGAGACATTGTTTGCTACCTCATCAGTAGTCTCCTTCTGATGTGTTTTACGCTGCCCTTGAAACCAGCCAACAGGCTCCTCAGCGATGAGAAGATTACCGAAGTGCATCACATGTGACAAGTTTGTTAGACGTTTCACGCGTTCATATTGTTCTTCCAATGTTTCAACGTTGATATCCTTCTACAAACTTTAAGGTTTATGGTGTTGTATGTGATAAACATAATAAGTTTTTAGATTATACAATGATAAGGTTGTTCTAATAAAACGAAGAGACTGCAGGAATACAAGCAAGTCGCTGAAGTAGCTTGGGCAACAATTTGTTTATGATCATCCAATTTTTCCTACACATTCTTTCAACCTTACTTTCAATGTACAAAATCAATCTAAGGACTTGTAACAATTTTAAAACGCATGAAGTTTAAACGATACTTCATCGGAATCCCGCATCCAATTTACTGAGAAAAGATCACCGAGACATGGTAAGCGCATGTCGTTATCGCAGTATGTGCCCCACGATGACTCGTGACTGTTTGCTGCAGTAATAGCGTACACTGTAAAATAGAAGATCCATTATTCCAGGCGGAAAAACTTGAGTAGCGTTGCATTCGATAACATTTATAGAGGATAAAGCTCCCGGCGTTGATCAATCCCTGAGGGATGCGCCATGCATTCAACTTCATTAAGCATCAGCATCATTTGGAGGTGATTGAGTGCACATATGGCCTTTACAATGACACACCACCGATGTATCGAGCCAGTGCTACTATCCTCCTATTCAACTTTGCTACCAATTTACCGACCCCGAACGGATGGAGAGCTTGGTTTGCCACGGGCGCGGATCGATCCCACCTGCATGTTACAGGGCGTCTCCGACCACTGCGTCGCACACACTCCAGCATTTATAGAGGACAAAATTCTAAAGCAACATGCGAACATGCAAGTACAAGAGCTTTCGGGGATGATGGATACGAAATAAACTGAATACGAGTGATGCTGCGATTCCCATAGGTGGTGTCAGGTCTTGTTAGAAGAGAAGAAGTACAACTAACCATTAATGGTACTCTTCAGCACTTTCTCAAACATTGAGCCGCTCTCGCACGATTCCAAATAAAACACCAGCTGATTGTAGCGGTCATTTTCATGCATCCAGTTTAACGCCGTATTAAGTTGCTTTGCAGTTAGCTAAAATGAAGCGGACCTCTTCTCGTCCAGATTTCTTGACCGGTGCTGTTTCATCAATTTAACAGGATTCGAGATAAAGCGAAGGTAATTTGATTAGAAACGTTGATTTGATATCATCGTTACCATTCCTTCCGGGAACGCTATTACACCAACAGCACCGTGATCAGTGAAATAGACGAAGATGCGGTCGTTCGGATTACTAAAAGTAGTAGAAACTGGGACCTGATTGGAATATAATGGATCGTAATTTTATCTTTCAGATTCTTCTTTTTTGTTCAGTCCTTATGTAATTAAAACCAATTCAAGAGAATGATATAACATTTAAAACCTTTCAATGACGCGTCCATTTCCACCTTTCACTCCGGTAGCATTTCCCTTAAGGATGTTTAGAAAATTTTCATGGTTGACTGATGATTTCTGAACGTAAACATATTTCCTAAAGAAGTAGAAAATAATACAGTATACAGTAAAGTAAGAACTTAGCAATTCTAAGCTTTGCATTACCGCAATCTTTTTTCCTACCAAAGGTGGATTAGAACATGGATTTGATTAGTACAACGACTTAAGGTTTTTCGTAAATGAATAACGCTTCAGTCATCGCGTACAAGTTCTTAATCAATTGGTAGATGCTCACACGGCTTTTCTAGTTTTAAAGGGACGTCTAACCAAAGTCCGAATGAGCGCTAATGCTAGCCTTGTACCAGCTGGCACATAATGCTCGTCTTATCACCGTGTTACCCTCTATGATCGAATTGAGCGAAAGGTAAATCACAGGTAGTAATATTTTTATAAGATTTGATGGCTCAATAAACCTTATTCGGACAAAAATGCTTTCTTTTATATTAAATAGGATTAAAGAACCAAGCACAATGCTAAACATGACACTTGAACGGCCCGTCCTCACTAGTTGTGCTGCCCCAGCATAATCACAATTTTTCGGAGATCTGCTGGTTAAGCCATCGTTGTTCGCTGGAATCCCGAGGACTGCCTGGCCAAAGTCTGCCCCAGGTCGTCACCAAGACAGGCAGTCGCAGCCCTTGTGGATCAGAGGGAGATTTGCCACCATGCGACTTTGATACGAGGACGGTGGTGGATACTGGTATTGGTTTACTCTTAGCTAGGCTTTCGGATGGAAACGCCGGACACCTTCTCAGCTTGGGAGACTCTGCCAATGGTATGAATCCCGCGCCCTACATCGCAGTCCGACACCCAGGAACACATTCCAGCCACGATGAGGCCGCAGACCGTTGGGAGGGTGCCAAACATGAAAACCTTGAAATGTTGTTTCACTGGCTTCCCTTTCTAGGAGGAGTTTATTGGTAGCCGTAGGTTATCGTGATATGTCGTGAACTCTAGTAAGTTATTATGACTCAACGTGAGCACTTCGTAATCGGCTAGAGTTAAAGCCACTGGTTGAAGAATTCTTCTTATAAATGGAAAAAAGTAAAGGAACTTTTAACTATGCTAACCCTGTAATCAATTTTCAATCCTTGGTAAAGATCATCACCATGGGGCCTATTGAAAAGTTTTCCAGGATATGGATTTCTGAAGATGCAGTGTAAACGATTTTTTTTATTAGTTATGTCGTTCCTTCACAAAAACCTTGAAACTAACAGCTTGTTATGTGCAATGTCGTCGTACATCATTACTATAATGTTTTCTTCGGCGACACCATGTTTTCTCAAAGTGTGGTATGCATGAGCGACATCGGCCTGAATATTTATCGTATGTATATAAAGACATGTAGGTGGAGAACGCAGTGATATTGATGCTGTTCATCACAATCATGGTGCTGGTTCAACTACGCTTCGGGCTAACCAAGTTTTTCATCCCACGGGGTTTGTAGACTTATAATAATATCAGAGTTGGTTTGGGAACAGCTTGCTCCCTGCAGTCCAAGTGGGAACGCTCTAGCTAGGCTATTCTAAAATTACGGAGGGAATCGACTGGGCTAGCATTCATCGAAATTCCTAAGGAGGTCGACAATCCTCAGACAGCAGTGGAATCCTCACGCGGAAAAATGTGTAGGGATCCACACAGTGGATGTAAAGACGGTTCGTGTAAAAAATAAAAGTTTATTAAAGCAGAGGGCTATATCAGCTGTTGTTGGGTCTATAAAGGGCTATTCGATTTTTTTCTTTTCATTTCGGTGAGTCGTTTAACATAACGACCAACTAAATGGGTTATAGTAACGCTACCCATCAAATGCTGATTGCGCCCAAGCTTAGCCATCATGTCTTCTAGCGATCTCGTGGAAAAGAGAGGAGTAGCAGTATCAAGGAACGCGAGCGAGGGAGGGATGAAAAATTCAGATTGTATTGGCTCTTCATGGTGGGATTTGGTTTTTTTTTTCTGAAGAGTTAGAAAAGAGGGTTCTGACCAGGCTCATATCCTAACGCATTGTGGTGGAACATTGCTATTTCCATTGTACACGCGCTATGCCATTCGAGAGATGATAAACCTTTCAAAGAGGACTACTCAGTTATGAATATTTCTATTCTAGTGTTACCTGGTGACGGTAGTTATACCATCCATTCGAACCAGCAACTAACAATGCGTGAATGTCTCCTTCGGGAACCTGTTCTCGACGATGACGTCCACTTAAATATATTGAATGTTTTGAAATATCGTAATTGCTAAATGTAGCTTTAAATACACTTGTATATTTTACAACCTTGGACTCACCTGAGAGAACTAGCTGAAGAAAACAGGTAGAAGCAGACAACCCACACGAAACTTCTCATCTAAAACATTTGTGTAAATGGAAAGCAAAGGATCAATTTACTAAAGGAGAGGCAAGAAGCCTTTACATTTATCGGTTCAATTTGTGAGCTACTTTAAGAAGTAGTGGGGTGAATTTCAGATCCAGATATTTACATCCTGGCTAGTGACATATCTTCAGTGAGAGAGGTTCTGCGCAATGTCTTGAAGTGATCTAAAATTCAATAGCCGATAGATGACACAAGAGGGTTGAAAGTAATCAAAGGCACCCATTCAATCTCTGTTTGAACTGTGGAGTGTAATAAACGGCTGATAAGAGAACACTGAGAGGAAGTGAACACAGTTAAGACGATAGGCGAAAAAGGGCAATGGGGATGCAACGATTCAATGGTGTGGCTCGAAACTGTTCGAATCGTACAGGCGAAACGCAATATCAGAATTATCTACACTAGACATTTAATAGGCACCAGTACTGGAACTTGAAAGTTAATGAAGGGTAAAAAGATAGAGCTCTCGGCGTTGATCCGTCCTTGAGGGATGCGCAATGCATTCGACTTCATTAAGCCTCGTTTGGAGGTGATTGAATGCATATATGGCTTTTACAATGATTCGTGGTGGCCTACCAATGTATCGAGCCAGTGCTGCTATCTTCCCAAGACAACTCTTTTATTTATCGGCTTCGAATCGATAGTTTGTACCTGTCGGACTAGGGCTCACTGATGATCGACCTGTCCGTATATGCGTCACGTTTCATTAACTTATACATTGGAAGGCGTTCATTCCGAAAACTCCTATCTCAGTCCCGCTGTTTCTTTACGATGAGTTTTTCCAGTTAGCACTCGTTGCATGAAGAAATGAGAAGTATTATCTGGCATTCTCACCTCCATTATTTTCGCCTTTTTTCATTATCAGCGAAAGGTTCGTTGAAGATGGCAGAATTACATAAGGCGACTTGTATTGTGCTGGAAGCACAGTAGTTAAAGGAGCCGTGTTAAACAAGTAGGATCTGTGATTCTAATGGGGTCAAGGGATTAAATAGACCATTATTCATTGACATTCATGGAGAGTGCAAAGTCGTGAAGTAATGCAAATTCGAAGACCTTCCTAGAAGACGATGCAAGGCAACGAGTGTGGTGAAAGAAGTGTCGGGATCTGCACAATGTGTAGTTTTTTGTCGTACAAAATAGGTTGGAAAGATGACTTTCATTTTTTTTCTTAATCTGAGTTCGGTCTAGTAAATCAACATAAAGGTTCTAGACAGCTTCGATAAGAGTTATTTCGGATATTGACACAAGAACTTTTCAGGGAAAGTCTTTCGTCAAAGTATGAGATTGTATAACCAGCGATCGAGCACTTTCGAAAGCTTCTTTAAGGTTTTCACCTAATTAAGACTTTCATACCTGCTGTTGTATAATGTGGGCGCTGTTACTATGAGAGAGCACTTTTGATGAAGTTCTTGCCAGAATTTCTCTTTCTTCCCGAAGAATTCTGGAGGCATTCACAAAGTCTTGCTTCATAGAATTAGTGAGACGATCGCCTGTAATATTGTTATCCACGAACTCTTTCCTCGACAAATCTAACTGGCGGATGTAATTGGAGAACGATCGCTTTAACTAACATATCGAAAGTGTTGTAAACGGTTTCCAATCTTATCATTTTTTGCAGTACTACACCCAACAAGTCGGTTCCTTCTATCACTCTTACAGCAACCTCGTCTTTAACAACGGTCAAAACTACTCCGTTACTATGTTCAACTTTTATTTACTGCCTACTTTTTTTAAAGTAGGGTGCTATATGAGATATAACCAAAAAATCCTGATACAAGTGAAAAATTCGAGACCTGAAGTAGGATTCGAACCTGCGATTTCCTATCCCGGAGCTCACGTGATATCTACCACGCCAACAGAGAAGGACTAGTCCTCGATTTGTGTGGTGGACAACAGGTAAGTTCCCGGAAAGGGTAATTGCGAGTTCGAAGGTGAACTGAGGCTCCGATTTCTTCTCATACCTCAGCACCTTTATGGTTTTGTGAAGAAGACTCTATACGGTAAAGAAACCATCAGAAACAAAACGCCTCTCATATGGCTAACACCGGCAACTCGGAGAGCTACGTATGAACACCTAATTTTCTTCGAATTATCAAATTTCAAATAGAGATTGTCTAGTATGTAGAAGTGCTTCATTGAGGAGTTACCAAAGTGTTCTTCATGCGAATCAAAATGTAGGGCATAAATGGATAGTAAACTGCTTATTTGTTCTCTGCATACCACAAAGTGTCACAAATAGATGTGTCGCCTCAACATATCGCGCATATTCTCCATTTCTCTCTTTCGCCTTGCTTTGCTAGCAACTTTTCATGTAGATTGTAATTTCGTGCATACATTCGGTCGTAGGGAAGGATCGTACCTCGAGCTGATAAGGTTGAAAAACATAAGACTATCCGTTAGTGATAAGGGTGGAGTGTTTGTCGTAATTACCCATCAGTTAGATGATGTGATAAGGAAAAAGCATCTTGAAGATGCTTCACTTTATCGCACATCATCTGAAAAGGAGTTTAAAAGTGAATGCCGAAAATTGGACCACGAATGGGTCAAAATGGCAAGGACTGCTGGTTTAAAACCATCAGTTATCTCTCAACTAAAATTTGACCTACCACCATGTTCCGTCTTGTACTTGCTTATAAAAACTCATACGTTAGCGTTCAGCAATGATCTCGTGTGATCCTTCATTCTTTAAGGTTAAACTTATCATCAGCTGTGTAGACGGGCCAACGGATAGGATAACGTGGTTTTTAACCCTACTACTTGTCCAGTTGTTGAAACACATTCCAGCCCATCTTACGAATACCCAGATGTTTCTGGATCGTCTACGGACTGCGCAGCCCAACAGCGCGTACGTAATGGAGTCTTTCGACGTTGCCATCCTTTATACAAGCGTGTCAAATGACTCCGCAATGCAAGCCATATTCGAACTCCTTACGCAACACAAAGGAGAAATAAATATGTATGGCTTCAAGACATAGCAGTTGATGACACTCTTTAAAAAATGCTTGAGCTGCTCAATCTCCAGGTGGTCCGGGAAGTAGTACGCTCAAATAAGAGGGTTGGCAATGGGACAACGACACCGGACAACGGCAATGGCACCAAGTCTTGCCATTTCGTTCATATCTAAAGTGGAAGCACCGGTGAACGATCTCGGGCCACTACTCTGCTGTACATACATAGATGACTGTTTTGCCCTTTGCTCAACACAGGAAAAAATAGACAAACGTTTCGAGCTGTTGAATGAACAGTCAGGGTATATCAAGTTCACACGAGAGAAGCCAAGAGAAAACTGGCTTCCATTCTTGAACGTCCAAATTAACCTGTCAGAAAATGGCTACATTACGAAGTGGTACTGAAAGCCAAGTAGTAAAAACAACTTGGTTCATTACCTCTCCTCTCACCCCTCTCACATGAAAAGGGCGCTTGTAAGAAACATGTTTCGAACAGCAACCAACGTGTGCACGGAACGAAAGCACAGAGAGGAGTCCCGGAACTTGGCGCGGCAAATAGCCGTTTCCAATGGCTACGAAACTGTAGCTCGGGATAGGTTAGGAAAAATCCTAGGCCCCCAAACGACAACTCTAGCGATAGAAGGGTCCCGTTTATCCTACCCTTCATCTCAAATGATGTAAGTGCAGCTATAAAACGCTGCTTAAGAAAGGCGGGTCTAGAGAAATCGGTAAACATACTTGAAATGCCACCGAGTGATCTCAAGCGCTAGCTAGTTTATAAACGCCTATTTGACCGTCTATGTGCAACGCAAAATTTTATAATTTGCCCCAATGATAGAGACGGTGACTACATGAGCTGGGGTACAGTTTATCTGTTCTCCTGTAAGGCGAGCGGAGACGAATACGTTGACGAAACGCGTAGACCACCCT